TTTCCCCTCGAGAAATCAGAAAAATAATTAAATTTACCAAAAGCAAATTAAGGGTGTCACAAATACAGGAGTTGAGTGACATTCTTTAATTAACTTAAATTCTTGGTCACTTCAATGGACACTTGGCTGAACAGAATTCAGAATTCAGTGAAAATTTCGGACAGTTACGTTAAACAATTTCTCTGTAAAAAAATAAAATGGCGGCGGAAATTTTGAAACGTCGCATGGCGCTTCTGATACTTTGGCCGAAAGGTGACACAAAATACCATCATGTAGGTTGTTTTTTTTTTTTCAAATTATCCGTATTTCTTTCTTATTTTTCCGACTGAAAATGGCTCAGTTCTGAACCGAAACGCCTCGCTGTTTTACTGTCTATTTTTAGCCTTGCTTCCCATTTCTCCCTTTGTTTTCTCATGTTATCATCGTCACGGGTTGCTGTGTAAAATTTGAACACTGGAAAAAAGAAAAAAAAAAACATATTGGATCTCGAGTCTAGACTCTTGAAAACATTGACAAGAAAACGGACTCTTGATTCAATCAGATTTAAGCTTAAATAATCAAAAGGAAATCCGCTCAAATTAAGAGGCTCGTTTCTTGATTTAAGCTCAAATCTGATTGAATCAAGAGTATTTTTTCTTGTCGATGTTCTTAAGAGTCTGCACTCTAGATCAAATGTGTTCTTTTTCCCAGTGCACTGAAAAAAAATTCTCGGCGTTTTTACCAAGGTCCGTTGGTACCTTTACCATCTCACTTTTTTTACCAATTATTGGTACTTTTACCAAGGTAGACTGGTAATTTTACCTAAAAACCGGTATTTTTACTGTTTTTTACAGGTAAGAATCCCACTTTTATTGGTAATCAATTCCCAGTAACTTTGCCATTTTATCTCGATAATTCTACCATAGTCGATAAAAAATATTGGCGTTTTTACCAAGGTCCAGTAAAATTACCGAGAAAGTTCAATAATTTTACCGAGATTTCTCGGTAAAATTACCAATTCCATAAATGGTAATTTTACCAAGAAAAAACTGGGATCAGATAGAACCCTGAATTCTTGGTAATTTTATCCTTTTCTTAGTGAATACACCGAGATTTTTATTTTCAGTGTGTACCTACGCATTGTCAGAGGTGCAAGAGCTTTGGACCTATTTTTCCGCATTCATCATGAGCGAAAGCTCGCAAAATTTGGCAACGGTGCGTCACGGTCCCGGGAGGAGGATCGTGGATAGGAGCATGCAGGATCCGTGTGGGAGTCAACCACGATCGGGTGAGACCGGGACACCGGAGGAGGAGAGATGGAAAAAGCTGTCACGAAGACTAAACGGCTTTGATTAATCATTCCGTTTTCGAGTGTGTGGTCTGCGTCGTACGGCTCCGCGAGCAATGCCGCTTAACAGGGAATTATCTCTTGTAATGCCCGGAATTAAGACCCCGCTCACTTATGACCTTTGATTGCCCCACTCTCGAACCCCCAATTGAATTCCCAAACCGGGGATCCGAACCTCGAGAGCCCTGGAATTGAGGCGTCCTTATGGAGCTTGGGGTTCAACGAGAATTCGCGGTGGTGGGTTTTAGCATCGGGTGATTTCGTTTCGGCGATGAAAGGCTTCATGGTAAAACCTAAAGTCTCCGTTATCTCGTGAGCTCGCCTTGCTCGGGAAGAACGACGTATGAACAACCGGACGCTGCAAAATTTTCTCTCCTTCCTTTGAATGAGTCATTACCGTGCCGTGCAAGTATGAAGGGATAAAATTGATACAAATTCATAAAAACTCCTGAAGACCGGTCGTTGAAAATTGAAACAATATTAAATTTCATTAAAAATGAAAAAAAAATTGTAAAAAATATTTATCTTCCTTTGGCTGGCGCAAAGGACCTATTTGCCCATGTCCAGTCATTACCGTTGTGAAGTTAAAAAAGAAATAAAATGTATAAGTTGAATTCAAAAAAAGATAATAGCATTAATAAAAATGTGTGTGTATCCCAACGGACAGTAGTTTTCAAACTTTGAAACAATAATAAGGAGTGAAAATGAAAAAAAAAATCTATAAAATGTATTTAACTTTCCTTGACTGGCGCATAAGCCCTATTTGTCCAATTCTTACCGTCATGGACTTGAATAGAAATTAAATTGATGGAATTTGATAGAATTTATAAAAATTTGAAAGAAAAAAAACAGCAAAATTGATACACACTTGTGTGTATCCTAAAGAAGAGTACAGAATTCAAAAAAAAAAAATTAAATTTAAGTAAAAAAAAAAAATCCAAGAAATATGTTTTCTTTTAAGAAGCTTGTAAATATTTCTTCTCGAGACGTCCGATACTTCATACCTTAGATTGGAAATAGTTACCTTTTAAGAACTCAGGAAAGTTATCCATCCGTTTCATATCGACGAAGATTGGGCAATGTTTAAAAGCTCATACGGTGTTTTTCCTTAGCACGGCGCGGCGGTGCGGAACTCGGGCTCTCATAAAAAATCGGGGTTGTTGGGTTTTAACATGGAGTGATTTGATTTCGGCGACGGAAGGCTTGAGGGGAGACGAGAGGGCAGATTAAGTGCGTCATTCAGCCGCATGAGCAAATTACATGATCATGTGTTGCTCAGTTGCGAAGCGTGAACGATCGATTATCAATGCTTCCCCATTTGAAGCTATGGTAAAGAATCGATTTAGGGTGTTCGTTGCGAACACCCGATTTGTCGATCCTTTTCCGTAGGTTTAAATGGCAGATCAATCGATGTATCGCAACTGGTGTTGCTGCACGCTCTCCAAACTGAGAGAACTTTACTGCCATTGTAAATATGTACCGCAATAAGAACGAGGACCTACGCCCTACGCGGTGTGCACTGAAAAAAGTCGGTGCGGGTGTTCGGGTATTACGTAACTTGACGCGGGGATATTTCAATGAAAGGAGCTTTCATTGAATATCTCGTGCAGGAGAGTTTGTCGTTTCCCTCACGAGAAAACCTAACTACATTTCAATGTTGCCAAATTTCCCAAATCCCCAAATCAGAACGGGCGACTACACAAAGGTCTGAAGTAGGAGGAAACATAGAATTTTTCCTCTTCAAAATCTCACATAGAGATATTTTCACACAAAGGGAAGTTCGGCAGTCAACTCCTGAACAAGATATGAACATGTATTCTTCACAGCGATCAAAAGGATGTTTGACTATACAAATGACGTCATTCGCGCGTTTGCCTTTTAACAAACGTTAATTATAAACACCTGCACCTTCTTTAATAGCTAATTCCTTCCGAACTCCCGTTGTATGATAAGTTGGCATCGTGAAATTTTGAGGAGGAAAAATGTTCCGTTGTGCTTTAACTCATACCTCGTCCAGTGGCTCATTTCAATCCAAATAAGAGTTTTCGACTATTTGCAAATTATTGAACAACCCTGCGACAGATACCTGCACTGCTGTACTGAGGAAAACCGCCGTGTGAAAATTAAAAAGTTGCCAAAATTACCCTGAATTAATTTATATTGGAAGAGAGTTCTGCATGTTTTTTCTTCAAAATTTCCAGATGTATTATGATTAAATTGCGAACAAATTTCACTAAATTTCGCAATAGGGAACCACTAGTTTGTACTTGTCGACAAAACCATATCTACCTGCATGGGAAAACTGATGGGACAGATGTTGTTTCTAAAAAGAGCCACAAATAATAGTTCCTCATTGCACAATGCAGACTATATTATCTGAAAATTTGCCAGAAAAATAATTACAACTGTCTCAATAAATAAGTATCATACATCAAAGGAAATTTTGCAACGCCTAATGGTTCTTACGTCGCTTTTCCTTAGCACACAAGTGCAGATAAAAAAAGAGAAAAAAATCAAACAATGAAAACAACCGAGAAGGTACAAATTGCGAACAAAATTATCCAAAAAGTTGGCAGAAAAATATTTACAACTTTCTCAATAAATTCGTATTTTTTTCCTTAGCACAGCAGTGCTGATAAAAAAAGAGAAAAAAGTCAAACAATGAAAACAATCGAGAAGGTATAAACTGCGAATAAAATTATCTGAAAAATTAGTAGAGAAATATTTACAACTTTCTCAATAAATTCCTATTTTATCAAAGGAAATTTGGCAACGCCTGAAGGTTCTTCCGTCGTTTTACCTTGGCACGGCAGTGCAGATAAAAAAAACCAAACTATATAAAGAATCGAGAAGGTACATGATGATTGCACGGCGGCAGGACCGCGAGTCGCGAGTAAAGGCACGGCGGGCGGCGGGGTCGCGGTGATGGCGCGCGGGACCGCGGGTCGCGGCCCACGGCGCCCGGGCCGGGGCCAATGAGCGTGGAGCGCCGCGTCATTTTGTGGGCGGGGCCGGGCGCCGATTGGCCGGCGCTCCCCTCGCCGGCAAAAGCCGCCCCGTCAGCGCCGACTCGCGCCCGTGACTTATCGCTCAGTCCTCGCTCCAGACCTCTCTCGCGACGGCCGCCCTCGAGTCCTTATCACTTTATCAGTCCCGCTACGATTTGCGCGTGTGTTACACCGTTTGGCAAAAAAAACGTGGTCAGTAATTTTTTATTGAGTTCGCGCTTGTGAACGACTAAGTTACACGCGTTTTAGTGCCGTTAGTGCTCATTCGCGATTAAATTGCGACGATATTTTTGTGCTCGGCCTCTGTCGTCCGAATTTACGCTTTTTAAAACATTTTGGGAGTTTTTCGAGCGAAAGATCTACTAAAAAAATTTATTCGACGACCCGTATTGAAAAAGGATACCGTTGTGCTGTTATTTTTTTCGCTTTGCGTATCGCTGAGCGTTATTTTTCATCCTGAAGTTGAAGTTGTATGCGTCTCATCGCAGGAAATAATTGCGTATCATCATACATCATCGCGTACACATAAACGCTATTTGAAAAAAAAGTGAAATCAACATTGCACTGCCGGTACTATTCCTTCGGATATTTTCCTAGTGTTGCTGGATATTTTTTTCGTCTTGTATTAAACTTGTATCCGTGTTATTGTTGTTGAATGAATTGACATTTTGTTTTTTTTTTTTTTAAAAAAAAAGCATAATTTAAAAAAAAAGTGTTACCAGCGTCGCGTGTGCCATTTTACATCGCTATTGAATTGTGTTTGTTATTGCTGGACAAAACACTCTTTTTGGACTTAAAATTTTTTTTCTCGCGCAGTTTTGGTCCTGATTTATATAATCGCTATTTTTCGCTAGTGATTATACTGGATATAATAATTTTTTCGGACTCGAAAAATTTCTCAGTGCGCAGTTTCAGTCCTAATTCATAGAATCGCTGTTTTTCGCGAGTGATAGGCTTTTGTTCTTCTCATGACAACAACCAGACTGAAACCGAATTCGTGTTCCTCCTCGCGACCGGCACGGTCGACATCGATGCGCTAACCCGGAGCACGGTCCGCGAGTGTCAAAATGACAATGGTCAAGATAGAGGAGCTCCAGCGCCCGATCATGGCCCGCACGCCGCTCAAGAGCTCCTTCTCCATCAGCTCCATCCTCCCGGAGACGGCTCTCTCCAAGCCCACGAGCGCGCCCACGAGCCCGGCCTCCTCCGCCTCCTGCTCCGAGGAGCCCGCCAGCGACGTGGACTACGACCTGGACGTCACCGGCGGCGCCACACCCCCACCCCTCGACTGCTCCAAGTCCAAAGAAGACCCCGACAAAACCCCCGACGAGAAGAAAAAGAACGAGAAACCACCCTACAGCTACAACGCCCTCATCATGATGGCCATCCGCCAGAGTCCTGAAAAACGCCTCACGTTAAACGGGATCTACGAGTATATAATGAGAAACTTCCCTTACTATCGTGAGAACAAACAAGGCTGGCAGAATTCCATCCGGCATAACTTATCGTTAAACAAGTGTTTTGTCAAGGTGCCTAGGCACTACGACGATCCCGGTAAAGGGAACTACTGGATGCTCGACCCCAGTTCGGACGATGTCTTCATAGGAGGCAGCACGGGGAAGCTACGTCGACGATCTACAGCCGCCTCCAGGAGTCGCTTGGCCGCCTTTAAACGTTCTGTTGTACTTGGAGGTCTTTATCCACCGGCACCTCCAGGTTTCCCACCGGGCGCGAATTGGATGTCGCCCCTGGGGCAGTTGTACTACAATCACGCGGCACTGTATCAAAGGTATCCGTATCCTGGTTTTCTGAACCCGACGCAGCCCACGCTGTTGAAGCCCACGCCGGTAGCCCACAACGGGTTCTCCATGGAGCGGCTCCTGGGCGACGCGCCCATGAGCTCCGTCTTCAAGCCGGCCATGTTCCCGGCGAGCCCGTACGACTTGTACTCGAGCCTCCGGCAGCAGCAGCTCCTGGCGATCACGTCCGGGGCGAGCTCCACGTCGCCGGAACCCCCGCGACCCGTCAACCAGATCATCAAACCGGTCACCGTCCTCTCCAGGCCGGCCAGCTAGGGGTCGGGGTTCTTTTAGGATTTTCAATTTTCCGGGACGAGGGGTTTGTCGTTTGAGGCCAGGGCAGGTTTCGATCATGAGTAGACACTATGCCACTGGTAAAAAAAACCCTCTTTGTTCAAGAGGGCAGTTTCTTGTCGCCGGATTTAAGAGTCTGGACTCTTGTTTCAATGCAAAATCCTCCTGAAACAAGAGTTCAAGACTCTTAAATCCGGCGACAAGAAACTGCACTCATAAGTCAATGCAATGCGGCATTGGTCCAAGAGGTTTTTTTTACCAGTGTGCGAAATAAGGCATTTTGTCGGGCAAGCTACAGATTACACTGGAAAAAAAAAACACATTGGATCTATAGTCCAGACTCTTGAAAACATTGACAAGAAAAAATACTCTTGATTCAATCGGATTTTTGCTTGAATCAGAACGAAATGCGCTTAAATTAAGAGGCTTGGTTCTTGATCAAAGCTAGATTCTGATTGAATCAAGAGTACTTTTCCTTGTCGATGTTTTTAAGAGTCTGGACTCTAGATCCAATGTGGTTTTTTTCCAGTGTACACTGAAAAATAAGATTGGTAGAATTTACCATTCCTTCACGCTGTATTTTACACAGCGTCAATTCAAAGTCGATTCTGTCAGAGGAAAGTACGTTTACCTTTCCTCTGACAGAATCGACTTTGAATTGACGCTGCGTGAAATACGGCGTCAAGGAATGGTAAATTCTACCAATTTTTTTTCAGTGTAGGCCAATAGACAAGGCCTGAAATAGCTATTAACGTTAAATGAGGGGCTTGGTGGGCAAGGCGCATAAGTGCAGTTTTAGCAATGTCGAGGAATACGTGGATACATTTTCAAACTTACACGAAGCCCTGTGGTGGAAAGGAAGTTTGAACTCCTTTATGGATGCTTTTAAGTTGGATTTTAGTCGTGAATTTTTCACAGAGTACACTTTCAAACAAATGAGTTTACGAATATCTCAATTTTTTAAAAACTGCACGTATACGCCTTGTCCCTCCAAGCCCCTCAAATGTCGTCGTATTCCAGTCAAAGAACGGTACCTTCATTCTAAAGTTAAAAAACCGATTCAATCATTCCAAGTTCTTACAGAAATATGACTGCGCGACCGCCGTCAGGAATTCAACAGGATTTTCTCGATATAAAGATGAATAGTCAGTTAGTAAATTTTCCGAATTAATGTTTAGTTAGAAACGCCAAAAAGAATCCCAGTAAACCTACAATTTGAGAGTGGAAATTGTGCAATATTGAAGTAGGTACAGTTCTGTTTTTTCCCTGGAAAGCGACAAAGCTAAATCCTCAAAATCGCACGTTGAAAAGCTGCACATAACGAGAAGTTCAGAAATGAATTCCTGGACGAAATATTGACAAATATTTATAACACAAATCAAATGAAATTTGGATTGGACGAATGACGTAATTTGTATTGTTGTCCTTCAACAGATGTATATTAAGAAGACGACTTAGATCTTGTTCAGGAGTTGATTTTCAGACTTCTCGTTTAGGAATTTGCTTCCCTCAAGGAATTTTGACAAAGAGACGTATTGCGTAATACTGCTGATAGTATTTCATCTAGAGGCCTATTATTTAAACAAGGTACATAATATGACAAGCTCTATGTTACCCTCCTTTTTCACGTGCCGATAATTCAACTACGTTAATTATTTTTACATAATTTTGTTTCCCTGAATGAAAAATAAAATAAGATATGACGTACCAAAATTTTCTACTAGACTGACCTCTTTTCTGGCAGCGTTAGCAAAGTCTGAAAGTAGGCTAAGGAGACAGTATGATAATAATTTGGATATAACGCGCTGTTGATTTTTTTAAAGAACATACTAAAAATGTAGAGCATTTCCAGCTGTCAGAAGATCATTTTGGGCTGGGAAAATACAATACTAAAAATTTTAAGACACCGAATGGAGCCATGGTCTATGTGCGCAACGAATTTTGTCAAGTAAGGTGAATAAAGACATAGTAGTGCTGTTAAAATCAAGCGAAACCCGAAAAATTCAATGTATTCAACTATTCAACTACATGATCACTCATCTTCTTTTAATTTCATTTCATCTTTCATCTTTGCTAAAATGTTTCTATTGGTTTTTCGTTTGTGCACCAAAGAAAATCCTTGTCTCATGGGTAGAAACGTCTGCCTTTGTTATAATTTTCTTGTAAATTTGTATTTTCATCTACAGCTTGATTTTGATCAACATCGTGTAGTTGAATACATTGAATTTTTTGCTTAAATCTCGATTTTTACACCATCAATATGTCTGTGATATAGCTTAGCCAGCTAAATTTGGAATAAAATTCATTCAGGTGAATAACTTGGATAAAATCGGATTCAAATCAAATTTTGTTTGGCCCGACTTTTCTCTATCGTGGAGATCTCTAGTCATTTCCGTTAAGGACTTTGGTTTACTTCATCGCCTATGTTTCTTGATTCCGAAGAAATAGCGCACACTGTGCACTGATGAATTCGCAAAATGTTTCATGTTTTTAAGTTTAAGTTTCATCAGTCGAGCCTAGGCTTATTCACAAACGACAAACCTCCTCTTCGATTGTTTGAACCCGAATAGCGTCTAGAAAAACTTGTTGTTACTAATGAACGAAGGCATGCATCGATGATATTTTTTAACATCTAAATGATAAAAAATTTAAATTAATCTTACGAAGTTGATTTAAACGTATTGAAGCCCAAAAGAGAATCAAAGTGATGTAATGTTCTTTAATGACTCGAATTAAGTGATACGCTGAAGCATAGATAGAGTAAACAAAAGTAAGATCGACGGATTTCTAAACAAATAAATTTGAAAATATATTATTTGACGAATCAATTGTTAGCTAACTTATTGATGACTTAATTTGACGACGTAGTAAATTGCAGTCGTTCTTATTTCTTGAATTTTTCTTTTTCTCCAATGATTTAGTTTTTTCAAAGTTTGGATCAACTAAATAAAGTTTTGATGTACACGAATAAAAAACATTCACCGAAATATCAACTGAGTAGGAACTGACTTTTGGCGCTACGGCATTTTAAGAACATGTAGAGATTTTTCGGTTTTTTGCAAGAAAAAAATGTATCATGTCCATTTTGTTTCATAAACTACGCATTAAGTAATTAAAATATTGCACCGATATAATCCAGAGCATGTAAAAAACGCTTGATACAGGCTGTGTGTTATACAGGAACAGTGTTAGGGCTAACTTCCAGTTCTGTAACATACCTAAATCTTGTAATATTGGCGTAAAATGTAGAGGAATCTGTGGAGACTTTAACGCAACGTAGGAAAATAGCAGCCTTGGAAAAAGTAACATATTCCTCATGTATCCAGACTCGCTTTTGTCAACGATTGTTTCTTGTAAATCTCTAGTATGTAAAAATAGTCAAAAGGGTCACAATGAAGAATTTTCATATTAGGTACCAAGAAAATTGCTCTGACTATCAATGATAGCACATATTTGTCACCACAAGTTAACTTATTTTTCAGCGTGTATATTTTCAACCAAGATGTATCCCTCCGAAATTGAAAACTTGTTTCTAAGACTCATTCCTTGAATAGTTTTAACTCAATATTGTCGTTACGTTGGTAATTCACTGATTTTCTTGATAATTTTTCATTCGTGGAAATTATAGTGCAAAACTTACATTCATTATAGTTGTTCTTCAACCTAAATACTGAATTCCAAAAAAGTAATTTCATGATAAAACTAGCGCTTTTTGGGTTCTGCGAGCGAGTCCCGTGTTATGCTGTGATTTTTCTTTCTTTCATTATTATATCGAACTTTATCGCAATTGCGTGTTTAATTAATTTGTTGTTTATAGCTCTCTGTTTTCTGCGAAAGGCGCAAAGAATCAAATTCTTCAAACTGCGGTTTTTGTTGAGTATTTAATTAAGTAGATTTCATTAAAATGAATTATTGTTGTACTTGTAAGTTGTAAAAATGGACCATTGTTTTGTTATTGTCTTCGCATTAGTTTATTTTAGCGGTGTATTAAAATTGGCGTAGGCTCTTGTGTGACCTTGTAAATATATTAGCCGTTTTAATTTTTTTTTTTTCCTCTGTTTATGGGAGAGAAAAACATGTGCTATTTAAATATTAAGAGTCGGCTATTCCAAAGATAATTCGTAAGATAAAAGTGCGACTTCAAAAATTGACATGTAATTAGAATTAAATCCTGCTCTACGTGTAAAGAGTCGGAGAAGATCATGTCGAACACTTCATGAACATTGTTTCCGCAAAATAATCGTACTAATTTATGTAATCGTTAAAAGCTGAGCCCAGGAAAGGGAAATACAAATCAGGCAGCAAAAATACTGATTTACTTTGCCCATTACATTCATACAGCACTTCTCATTCCAAGCTTTTCAAATTTAGAAATCTGGTTTTATACAATCATACGAATTTGCAGTCATCGCGTGTCTGTAAATGATCGTGCAGTTTTAGAAGTCTTTTTTTTTTTAAACCTACAAAATGTAGTTCTCACGAATCTGATAATTTCATGGTTTGGCGCATGACGGTGTCACGCATTCGTAAAAACTCATGTAATTAAAATCATTAACACGGTTATTTCTATCGTACGATACTTCAAACACTACTTTAACTCCAATGCAACAGCCATCCATTTTGTACCAGATTTTATGGAACCTTGTTTTGAACGTTTTTGTAAAACATTGTAATTATGTAAATACTGATCGTAACTCATGCTAGTAGACGATGTTATTAAATCATATCTAAATTTATTATTTATGAAAGGTAAAAATATCTTTGCTATTCAATAAAATATTTTGAGTTTAAAAAAAGTATTTCTTCATTCAATTTTTTTTCATCCATGATGTCACGAATACCTTCATGATTAGATTTTCAAAAATTTCACAGTAAATTCTGCCACATTTAATATGATGCAGTTAAAAATATTTAACATTTGAGCCCGTCAAAATTGCCTATTTTTCATGTAAAGTAAAGTGAGAACACAGGGACCCCTAGGCGAAAATTCTTCAGGAGCACGATAGTTTGTCTTGAAAAAAGAAAAAAAATGATAAGCCTTTTGATTGTTAACAATGTATATTTCTCTCACCTTTTAAAGACTGCTTAGAAATGACTGCTTGCAAAATTTATAATT